TTTGAACCATCGATGGAAGAGCGCCCACTCCACTAAGTTGACTCTCGAAAATAAGCACGTAATCACATCGTGTTAACTTCACATATTCTACTATAGACCTATCTTGTAATTGATAACAATAATTTTCTAATATGGTAACTTTTTTTTTTTCGTTTATATAATATAATCACTATTTCACTCATGGCACAATGCCGAATATCAACGATTGATGAGGGTGCTATGACCCATATTATCAAATAGAGGCGTTTCCATTATTAAATAATAAGTATTACAATGTAAGGTAAACATAGGTTCGAATGAGTAGTAACAGTGTATTTCGAATATACGTCACATAACGATTTAAAAGCTATCACCAAAAAAGATCTATTTTACCCTTTACTGTATATCCATTTACCTAGATAACTTGTATATATAATGTTTGCTTGCATAATATATAAAATTCGTACTACTGCGAAGTACCATTGCTAATGCGCTTGGAAGTTTTGAGATACTGCTACTTCGCTGCCTCTCCGGTCGTATTACGGCAGAACTAAGACACTTGCTAAGATTGTGTTTGATTCCAGTCAACTACGGTATCGAAAAAACATGGTAGTTAACTTATCTGTATTGAAAATGAAATACTACAATCAAGTATTACGACTAGCGGTGTATATCAACTACTATCTTAAATTGAATTCCTATAACTATAGTTCTTATGATTTTACAGCAGATCTGAAGCGATTCTACAAGTTTTGATGCACATTTTTCGTTGGTTCAGTTTCAAAAGATCGCATGGGTATATATATATATATATATATATATGGAATCCTTGTAGTAGCTCAATGGGCAATACATTTGCTTGATAATCTTTGGGCACATTGTGGTCTAGGTTCGAACCCGGGCATAGACACATTTCGTTTCGGGCTCATGGAATCCCTAAGGGCTATACTGGACGAAAAACTTGAAGCACAGAAGGTATGCATATAAATATGGCTGTCAACACGAAACATTGCGCCTACGCGTACATTTCTATCTAGACCATTACTTGTCCTTGAGCTTACAGTTATTGCGCTTAATCTATTCCCTTGAGCCTTCGCAGTGTTCGCGCTTCTCTTTTAAAATATCCGTACAAGCTTATGCTGTAGCCTTGGTCCAGTTATTCTAGGATTGATCACCTAACTGAAATGATCCTACTTACCTATCTATCTGACTAGCTACCTTCTGCGATGTTCCAATCGACCTAACTGTCCTACTGTAATTATTATATTATTACAAGCGCATCCGGTGACCTTTGAAATTGAAACACTTTAAAATCTTGCTGGTGCTTCTAGAAATTTTTGATTAAAAATCAATTTACTATAAAAGAAGTAAGTTTCCTTAAAGCTGAGGTGCTGCGAAAATGTTAGGTAAGAATGCGTTAAGCAAAAGAAGAGTACGTTAATTTAGGAACCAAGACTGGAATTTTGAAGACCAGTGAGGAGAACAAAAACAGATTGTTACGATTCAAAAGGCTTTTCACACAAGCAGAGCTTGGAGCCTAACGGCTTTGTTAATGCTTATCACTCAAGTACTTCAAATGTGGAAACTGAGTAGGTAGTTTCAATAAATAAATTTTCCATGAATTGACTTTAGCCAAGTATTTTGCACGTACCATTTGCAAAACTTTTTTAAACAAGAAGACCCCCTCTGAAACAAATCATGGTTCTTTCTCTATCGCGAGCCGGAAAGGAACCGAGCTCGGTGGCGGCCTTGGGCAGGTTCGACTACTTGATAAGAACGCCAGGTCGCATCGTCACGTTTAAAGTACTGTTGGCACTAGATTTTAACTTGCTCGTAAGATTACGGGCTTCTCTATGTCCTAAAAAAAGGTCACTAGAGGCCAAAAATATTCCAGTATCGATTTACTTCTATCTATCTTTCTAAAATCCAATGTTGCGTCTATGCAGAGCCTAGAAGGTAAATAACTTCCCTTCAATATAGACCTTTGGAAAACTCTGGACGATTTTCCAGCAACCGCACTAAGGAGTGCTCAATGTGTTTAACTTACTCACACACTTTATGGGAGAGAAGAACTATTTCCTGAATGTATCGACAAAATCTTATGCGCAATTCTCTTAGGATGAAGTTCTACCAGCTTGCAAAATCAGCTAGAATGGGCCATTCTATTGAATGATCTGAGTAGAACGAACAAAGACTTAGTAATATTAAGTTCGTCTATATAAACGTTTGTTTTCTTCACTTAAAAACCTTTCAGCGCTCCCCTCGAACTACAAAGGCAAGATATTTTCATCTGGTCATCGTCATTTTCTACGATTTTCTCCTTCTTTCCATCAATTTATTCATCTCACTAGAAATATTTAGATCTGACGTTGGAAAATTCGTCGAGCCAGTTCAAATGCGCTGTGAAACAACACCGGCATTTACTAATCGATTTCTATGGAAAACGCTAGTGACTATTATCTACCGTTACGAATTTAATTTGCTAATGATTGGGAATGATACGAAGCCTGGAGAACTCGAATATGGCCTGAAACTCAGGCTTTTTCGGGGCGTATTTAACAAGCCTGCCATGACCTGTTGGCACTGCTGGGGAGAAGTATGATCCGGCCTTGTCTATAGAAGGTTTTCTGCTTTATTGCTTCGTCTACTTGATGTAACCGAGCCGTATGTAAGTCCTTATAGGCTGTCTTGTTCTCCCGAACATTTCTTAAGTGTATGATACCGTTTCAGTGCCATCAATTCCAAGCACGCATTTCGTCGGATCGAGATTAAGGTTATTTTGGAGAAGCGCCTATTTATTCTCTATTCGATACTCACGCTTGTTGTTATATAAACGTAGGGGCATTATTTTTTATCACCTATGAGTATTATGAGCCGTTAAGAAGCATGTTTCGTTGTGCTCTTTACCCAGTTCATGAGCTATCCACGTTAGAAATTTTTTGACAAAATTATTTAAATCCAAGGCAGCTGACCATCATCGAACGTCCGCGGGTCATCTATTCGGAAAATTCAACAATTCAAGCTCCCTGTTTTTCTGTTTTTTTGAACCTGGGTTGTGATTTCTTATTTCTGTTGTGGGACATTTGGGGTCATAACTGGGCTCATATAACTTCCAAAGCCTATCTGACAGTCGATTTTCGAATTTATTCGTCCCCTCTGATTTATTAATAAAACCTTGCGTCGTTATTGTAATTAATTGTTTACGTCGCAAATAAAATGTTTAGCAAATAACATTGGGAAGTTGAATAGAGTCAACTAATATTAGCTCTAGTGGCCATGTGGTAGGTGTGGCATCTCTAACTTCAAGCACCGTCACCTTGGGACGTCTATGACGTTGCTCTCTATGGAAAATCTCTACGTGGCCATTTGACCATCTGACGAAGAGGTCGAGTCGACTTAACACCAATAGAAGCGTACATAAAAGCAGTTCCATCCCGATTTAACGGTCTGGTGCGCGGGCAAAATCAGCCAACATGAAAAAAAACATTCTCTTTTTTGCCAAGTTCTGCGCTGACAAAGATGTTAATTTGACATGTATCTTCGTAACGCCAAGCGAGGGACAAACTTCTCCTTCTTAATCAATTATACCCTGATTGCAAGCAGACCCGCAATCCACTTTCCAAGTACAAAAATACTACCTCTGTGCTTACCCGTTGTGCCCGCAAGTCATAACTCCACTGACGATCGTCCCAACAAAGAAATTCAAAGTACTGCATGTTGAAGACAGCAAAATGCACCGGTAAATTTTTGACAATTAATTACTTGTCGTTAATGTTGCCGAGCTCGATGGCCAAGGGACTCGACAGATTCCCCAAATCCTACTTTATTCATTGCTAAAATCCTAAGGTGAGTGTTTTTCTGCTACTTAACACTATTCTCAAAATGTACCACACCTCACAACTTGGTATTTATTACTGCTTTAAATAAAAGACAGAGAATTTATAAAAGCAAAGCTGCATCATCAGCGCCGTCCCACCGCTCCTCACGCTAACAGCCAAAGGTTTACATAGCTCTCAGCTGCTTGGCCCGAAGTCATCACCATCTCTTCACTAGGGGCTCCAACGTAGGCTCGATACATTTTTATCAAGTTCGAAGCGTCCTTCGTCGCCGCCTAATCGTTGAGTGACGATAAAAGCGGAAAAATCCACGGTTTTAAAATCATAGACAATTTTCTTGCACATTATTTTGTTTCCAGTTGATTAAAAAACCCCGAGCCATCGATGCGCTGGGAATTAATCTTACTTCAGCCTCTGATGTTGACCTCATTCGTGTCACTTTGCCTGCCTGCCCACCTGCCTGCCGTACTCGACCGTGAACTGTTTCTATACAGACTTGTGCTGCCGAGATCGTGCTAATATGATAGAATACAAATCCGCAAGATATTTCTTCGTGATTTATAGTACAGATTCAGAAATTACAATACTTTGTGTCGTTGTTCTTGTTTTGAAGTTGACTTTCCTACGGATAGACTGATGTGACATAAGAATTTCAGGTAGTCCGACCAGCAAAGCCATCTTTATAAACTCCACCGTTTTACATACAAATAGTTGTGCGAAAAGTAAGACATATCATCAGTAGAGCTAAAAGCGGCTCATCGCTGTAAGGTCTTTTATTGTCAGACCCCAATGAAATCAACGACGTTACAATATGGGTGTCTTGAGCTATCTTTGGCACGCATTCGAAATAATTCCAAGTGTCACAGGTAATTTTTTCCCAACGACAGCGACAGGGCCGACAGACAATCACTGATGATACCTGCATGAGGCATACTGCACGCCTATGCGTAAATCAGCAACATTATGTTGTAGTGTGTCGATATGTTTACGGAGTTTTTTTGTCAGTTTCTTATCCTTTGGTTTGTCTCTTCTAGTAACGTCTTAGTGCTTAGGAAGAAAATAACTGTATGGGAAGATTCTTGTACTTAAATAATCGATTGAATTGACTAATTATTATCAAATAGTTTTAAGAGGGAGCGGAGCAAACTTCGATCCGGTGCCAATTTTTGTACTGCTGTTATATTTCTAAAACAACGACATCGATTTAGCTGTCAAGCGGTCTAATCAGTCCAGGTCGCCGGCAGGAGTAGTTAACTCTACCTGAGTACGCTAGTTAATCAATTTTCAGGAGTTGTGACATTTTGTTGCACCGAAATATCGACTGCCACAAGACAACGACAACAGGGGATGCAGAAATGGTATTTGCTGTAGGTAGTGTCCCCTGCTGTATATATTGTAGTGAAGCAATGGCAATTTTTAGCTCTCTTGCGTATTAAGTTTGGTGTTTAATAACTGTGATACGCTATATGCGTGTAGAGAACCTATCATCTGTAAGACTTAAAAGCGCTGAATTTTCGAAAGCGAGCACAAAAACTCTTTTCGGAAGCCCAAATGTTAGTTTTTATAGCGACTGCAATTATACTTACACGTCACCTCCGTTCCGAGACGTAGCGCCGGAAAAATCCTCGATAAGTTGAACTATGAGAGGTGCTACACAGTTGTTATTTAAAAACTAGGTATAACCTCTTTTCTTTAACCGTGACTGCTTTGAAGACTTCACGGGGGTCAATGAAAGTATTAGCTTGGCCAAGGTCTTATCAGGGCCATTTCGCGCTGTAAATGCACCTGTCCATTTGCAGTTAAATAGGCTTTCTTTACGGTCACAAGCAAAATCGAAAAAAATTCGACGTCGATTTTCGTTAATCGTTAGTTTCAACCCCCAAAAGCAGCATTGCGAAGGCAGTTGGTCCTGCCGGGCCTGAGATCTGCCATTATTTTTGACAAACTGTTGCTGAGAATTTGCAGAATGTTTCTTGTCTGACCTGCGGAAGTAAGATCTTTACACACTGAAGTTGCTTATCATAGTTTAAGCCTTTTCGCGGCTTTCCGGTTTGCATCGAGAAGAATTAGCCTAAATGTCGTGCATTAGTTGGACGGAGCTTTGCAAATTGTTGAATGGTGAGGCCCCTTCGATACCAACGTATTCGTTTTCTCTATAAACGAATATTTTTCTGGTGGATTCTTCTTCTTAGCGATGAGGAGACCGTTCTACTTTACTAGTTGTTTGTTTACAAGATTATTATCGATGAGTGTATCATCATTGTCACTGGCCCAGTGAATGACAGTAGCATCGGCCAAGCATACTCGTCACATTGCCGGAAAGACCTTTAAAAATGGCTTCATTAGCGAATAGTTTTACTGATCTCTTTGGTACAGTGTGTTTCTAATCGGACGTGCCACTTGTCGAATTTACCGATTATCATTACCGTTCGGCCAACTGATGAAAGACCCCGTCAGACTTTAGGATCTCTTCGTAAACGACTAAAGCAACGATCAAAGTTAATCTTTTGAAATGAAGCTTCATTGTAAGCTCCGATTTTCAAGCTTTGCCGTTGTATGGTTTTTGCTTTCCTGTAAAGCAGCAGTATTTGGTTCTATAATGACCTCTGTTCTCTAAACAGCGTGGACTTTTTGGGTTCCAATCGGGAGTTCAACCACGCAGAGATCTAGTGGCACTTAGTGGGTTATTATCTGATGGATGGATCTATCTCTGTTACAACCATTCCATTAGAACATTTGCCGCCAATCTAAAATAGCTGGGATTTCGTTCTTAGTAGGTAATTGTTTTCTCCCTTAAGTATGGTTACGCCAAATCAGCTTTTTTAGGTATTGATTTTTTTGCTACTAGATACTGTTTTTAGTTGAGGCTTCAATACAGGATCTACAAAAGGCGGTTGCAATAATTTCTTAATGCGATACAACAGTTTTATTTTGGTCGTTTTAGGCAAACCTTATTTTCTGGTCGGGCTTCTGCCTTCTAGTGGCTACTGCCGAAGCTCCTCAAACTCAGAGCGCGCGTAATAATAGTCAGTTTTGGCTAGGAAAACAAGTAAGCATTTCGAACGCAGAACAAGCTGCTCTTAGCGCCGAGTCGTTCAGACGGCCCCGGGCGATGAAGCAAAATCGTAACCCGAAAAAACTCGCTAAGGGCGTTCCCGCCTCAAGCACGCTGACACATAATCACCGGCGCGAAGAACCTGCAGGTTCCAATACGGGATCCCTAGAGCGACGTCCACCGTTGAATGAAGTGAAATCAAGGCGCGGCAAAGAGGAGGAAGACCGTTCGCTTGATCAAGGTGGTAAACTTTTTGTGAAAGGCGCTGAGGAAACATGCTTTGATGGGATATTTCCGCTCGATCCTAGTAATAAAACCTTCCCCGAGAGTCCGAGGGTATTGAACAACTACCATTGCAGATTGAGGGTAGTTATTGATTATCATTTTATACGAAATATTGCGGGGGAATCGGTTTTACGAGCCCAGATGATTGCAGCTCAATTACTCCGAGATGTAAACAAACTTTTTAGGTCTCTTTCATTCGACGGCAGTTCGATTGGTTTTGGAATAGGCGTTCTAGATATTCGCGATGTTCTAGTAAAATGGTACATTCACAGTTATTACAATGAGTTGTCCGAGTCAATATACGATGTACTGAGTTACTTTGCCTGGACTGATCTCCGCATAAACGAGGACTATTGTGGCGCTCTGTTAATTACGGCAAGATTTTTCACAAAGTGCGCGAGTACTTCGTCAGCTTATAGTGGAAACATCAGTTTTGATTCAGGTGTGTGCTCGAAGGTGCGCAGACAGTGGAGATGGCCCCCTTTACCTCGTGAATCATATGTTCAGTATACAGTGGCAAACGTGGGTTTAGCAAACCTATATAAGAATAACCTGACTATCCCTAGAAGAAGTCAAATAATGACCATAGCCCAGGTATTGGCCCGGATGATGGGAGCCAGTACTCAAGAGGGTTCAAGGACAATCATGGACTGGCTTGACAACCCTGAAGCCCTTTCGATGGAGTTCAGTTCTACCACCGTTAGAGAAATGTCGACTCTTCTACGCCGAAAACAATCTACGGAATGCTTTAGCAAGGACAGTTTATGCGGCAATGAAAGACTGGATCCGGGTGAGGAATGCGACGAAGGCTTCGAAGGTGGTCCTTGCTGCGGTCTCACCTGCCACTTCAAAAGGGGAGCTGTTTGTAGCGATTTAAATCACGAATGCTGTGACCAGTGTCAATTCGAATCGGATCAGACTTTTTGTCGACCTGCAGGTATCGACTGTGACGACGCAAGAAGGTGCCTTGGTACATCTGCGGTATGTGCTCCCGCATCGTCTATGAAGGACGGAACATCGTGCAGAAACCATGGGCGATGCGAGGCGGGTGTATGTCGGCACTTTTGCGAAGTTTTCGGTTACCAACGTTGTGCCTGTAAGGGTAAAGACGCATGCAAGATCTGCTGTATGCGAAATAACGGACGATGCTCGCCATTCGTACCTGCCATATATGCTACGGATGGCACTCAGTGTACTGGCTCAGAGGAGCACGGTGCAGTTTGCTTCAGAGGCACATGTGTGAATTACTGCAAACGGTATAAGATGACTGGCTGTGCTTGTCCAGATGCTGGGCGAGGCGCAGAAAGACAATTGTGTTGCATGCTCGACAAGGTTTGCATGCCCATCCTTAACCTCGCTTAAATGGTGCTGCGTTGCGCTGGCCAGGGACTCGCCCGATACGTTTTATTCTTATCCTATTCCTAGTAATCTTGCTTATGAAATATGTTCTTAAAGAAATCATTACTTTCGGAGCATGGGTCCGGTAACTTAAGAAAATTAAAATGTATCATATGCGATGAAGACAACCCTTTTAAGTCAGGCATTTTAATTATTTCTATTATTATTTCAATAAAAGGGACGGGCAATATATACATGTGGATTGGGTTTTTTTTTTCAAATACATTTGAATGCTACGTGTAAAAAATTATCACGAAGGACACATTAGTTCTGCCGGGAAGATTTTTGCGTTCTAGGTATTAGTCGGTAAAAACCATTATGCGAGTAATGAATTGCGCGATTAAAAAATTAATAGGGCCAGGGGGTAAATTTGCAAAGGCTTTACGCTTTAAGAAACTTGGAAGCCTAAAATAGACAATAAAAACGGCGAAATTTACAAGCAAACTAAATAGGCACGACGGATTTTAATATAATTTGAGAAGGGTTAGCATCAAATTAACTAGGAAGTTGTTATATAGATGTACGTACGTGCGTACGTACGTACATGAAAATGTCACGAAATTCGCTCGATCTGCGTAATTCACTTGAATTTATGTACGTATTTGGTTAGCATTGATAATACTAACCAAATACGTACACCATTTTTCGTAGAATTATTACTGCCATACTCAAAATGACGTGCCCCATCGCAAACGTATTTGTCCTTTTTGATTTCAACGTGTTGTGTTTCTATGAAAAAATGCGTATCAGGTTTTCAGGTGTCAAGCAATAGAACGATTACCTGTTTTTTTAGGTAACAGTTCACGCATAGCAGCAGCAGCAGGACGCAAATCTGGAAATATTTGAAAAATCCTATTTTTCCAAATTATTTCCTGATTTGCGTAATTTTGACGTGAAAAATTTAACGCCAAAATAACTGAATATCTGTTGAATGCTGGAACTCCCGGTTAAACAACTAACAATGTAATATTCAAGACTGGAGTGGGATCGAAAGTACGTAATGAACGATTATGTACTTTCGAATCTGTACACCTGTCGAATCTCAGCATAGATCACTGCACAACTACTAGCATGACTTTTTTTGGCACTATTACATAGTGTTATTGATTCCAACTTTGGTTGCCGTGAAGGATCCTCGAGTAATACTTATTTTTATCACAGAGAAATGACTGCATACGTTTATCATATAAGCGTATGAGTTATGTAAAAGTTGCAAAAACCGTCTATTTACTTCTATCGTTCCTCTATGAAATCATATATCGCAAACACGACTGCATTCACACACGCGTATGACGACGGAAGCACTGCCGCGTCTGTAAGTAGTGTTGACTGTTCATTTATGACTGCCAGTCACAATCCTGGGTACCTATCACAATCATTAAAATGGTTTGATTCTAAGGGTTAATATCGCTGCGCAATGCGTACACTTTGTCATTTTTCGAACTTGTGCTAATTATCAATTAAACCTAATCCGGCATCTCTGTCATAAGTTGATAAAAATAAGTTGATATACATTTTCTCAGACGAATAACTCCTAACAAATTTTACATCACAAAAGCTTTCATAGGAAATAAAAAAAAATACAAAATAAAAGAAAAAAGACAAAGTCTCATTATGGGACTTTTTCGAATTATACTTCGTAGGTAGAGAACACGTTCTATCAGCCGCAGCACTCGAATGAGGATAAAAAAAAAAGCCATTTTTAATCTTGGATCTTCCGGGATATATTACGAGGTGCCCTTCGTGCTCACTTAGCCCATCTACCTTTCGCACCTTCTTGCTAAGTTTGAAAATATATCTATCAATCAAATGTATTTCTTTAGGCTTAAATCTCAACAAATATTTTATATGGACAACAAATAGAGCATTTGAAAATATGCATCAGATGTATTATTCGACCAGTCGTAATGCTAAAACTAAACATTTTAGATAAGAACCGGTTATTATCTTCTGGGATCGTCTAAAATTCGGCGGAGTAATCTAGGAACCGTTTACTTAAACTTTCTTTTGTTTCGCGGATCGATGGCGATGATTCTTGCTCAGAATGCAAGAAAATATTCTCGATGCAGTTTATTAACGTCAATTATATCACTAATTTAGAGTCATCTTACGAGCTTCGCAAAACCTTTGTTCGATAGAACTTTTTTCCCTCCTCATCGGCCACCAAAACAGTTTAGTATAGTGATACTATAGAGATAATAGACGGCCGCCAGTGCGTTTGTATGTAACACGTCTATACAGCCATAGAAGTTAACAGGCGATTAAATTATACATGTATGAATAACACGTTGATAAAGGCTAACTGCAGGGTGAGCTGACGTCTCTTGTCATGACTGGTCCCCTATATTCCCTTTGTGCTATCAATGAAGAACTTCAATTAGGAACTCCAGTGTTATTTTCACTTTTTCCAATTAATTTTTAGCGTCTTTTTCGTGCATGCAAAACCCCAACGCTTTTATAATGCGGTTATAAACCAGCTATAAACATGCCAAGGACAGAAAGTGAAATTATATCTACGATATTTACATGTACCTACACGCTGCATGATTAGAGCTCAACATGCATCAGAGCTGTATTGAGCTCTGATTTAAAAATGAAATTATTTCTCTAGAAATCTTTGAACCACCTGCTTAGCAGCAGGGATCCAATCAGTGATCTGATGCTCGGCGCCTTGACCGCGGCTACCACGGATCATTCTAACTTACGTTAACGGCTGCGGAAACACGTACACTGCAGTCGACGTATGGAACCTAGGTGGTGTATTTCGAGTACCGTTTGTTAATTTAGCTTTGCCCAATAGTGTGACAATCTCTTTGCGGAAACAGCAGGCCAATTCAACGTGCAGCACAGCTCCACCCACCCTGACGTGCACAACCCATATTCGAAATGACAGTAGTACAGAAAAAATCTTTTTTTTTTGTACTACTAAGTAAATTCTAGAATGCGTGCAGACTTCATCCAACTGCTTACTGTTGTCTAATACAAAAAGTAGAAGAATATTTTCCGGCTTACCTTGACGGCTTCCAACGGAAAATGCATTAATTTCTTGCTTGTTTTCATTATTTTAACAGCCAAGCAATTTGTCGTAGAAAACCCTTTGTAGAAACTATTGCACTATAACAAAAAAAAAAAAAATTTCCAGCATTCCCAATTTTGTTCGTAAGGCGAAGAGCTCTTCACCATCGTCGTTGTTATCGTAATTGCTGAATTGCATGCATCAGTGATATAAGAATATATTTAGTGAAATTTCAATTAGCATTAGAAAGTTATGTCGTGCCGCGTTAAGTGTGGCTCCACTTTTGAATTAGGACCAAGTGCACGATTTGAAACAAATTTGTCAGCTAAATAACCTACAAACACAGACGCAGCTAACCGTAAAAAGCGCTTCCTATATTTTTGTCAAGTAAGGGCATTTTTTTTTTTTATATATCGGAACCATTTTTACGAATCCGTATCAACTTTAGCGATCCACATCGACTCATGGCTTACTTTAAAATAACTCAGTTTTGTCTCAAAATTTTATCCTTGGAGACGCTAGCGTTTCTGCACTAGTGAAAGATTCCACGCCAACAACTATAACTGTTATGACGCGAACGAAAATTAAATATTAGGGTACTGCAAGCATTCTCAGGGTAGGGCGGACTGAAAAGCCAAAAGAATCTAAATATGGCAAAATTAATGTTTAAAAACACACAGCTTCATACGACTGCGGTCACCTGAATGAAGGGTAGCGACCTTTTTTCCAAAAAAAGACCTTGAAAAGTGGCAGAAGTATCGCTTTGATAAAGGACAATATCCTGCAGCCTTTGCTGTAGGAGATCGCCGATAGCTTTGTTCGTGCTTAGCTGGCGTTTGCAGCATGTGCGAGGTCTTAAGGTCACCGTTAGTTCCCTGTGAGAACCCTCGTAGTTTTTGTCTTAAAGTGCTTATTCACTATTTGTGCAATTTTCCTCTTTTTGGGAAAGCATTTTTGAGTATCTGAACTAGCGTGATATCATCACAAAACGTGACATGGTAAAATAACGTAAGGTCATTTACACGGCCTTTCTAACTCTGAGATTAGGGGGGCAGCGACAACAACAATTGTCCTGACATTTTTTACACTGCATTTGCATTACCATCTGCAGCAAAAAAAAATCTCATATATGCCAATTGTCTACTGTCTTGTACAGAATATCTGGACGGATGTGGCTGATTTAGATGACAGTAAATTATACGCGTCGTTTACCGACAACACTTTCGTTCGGCCCATAGGTTATTGCATATTTCTATCCAAGATTTGCTGGTTTTGTTTAGATTTTATAACAGCAAAAGTTCCATTTGCTGGCTTCACTACACAATGATATTGGTTGTGCTAGTTTTAGTCATTACTTAAACGCCTCATGTCTATTATATATATGCATAGTATTATATACTATATTTAGTGATAGTGAATTGAGTATCGGCTAGTTAACGCTCAGATATGGGATAGAAAAGATGCAACGGCGTATCAGATGCGTCTACTAGAAGCAACCAATTATAGACCGTAATCTGTAAGGACGATGCCCCTAATCAGTTAGGGTTAACGATGACTTAGCGATCCCCTGAGGTGACATGAGGCTTTTAACCAAAGTGTTTGTTTTACGCCTTGATGTATTTGCTCTCTCGATCAAATTGAATATATTCTCTTAAACGCCAACCAGCATCCTTAAGAAATAAGGAAGTAAACAATGCCGTGTCATTCGACTGTGCATGTTCCCGTGCAGCCTCTATCAGAGCATGGTCAACTTAAATCTTCAACGAGGTGTGTCCGCTAAAGTACTGAAAACCATCGGAATGTCAAGGACGAAACCATCGAATTGTCTTTACTACAAAGGTGAAGACAAGTGGTCACATGATGCGGCCAATAGAGACCAATAGTGGTCTTCTTGAAATTCATTTTAAGATTTCTCAAGCGACAGCCAAGCTGGGTTCTGTAAACATTCTAGTACCACCTTTCCACAGCTTGCAAGCCCATAGGCAATGGATTTAAAGATTTCACAAAAGCGTGGACAAAAAGATGGACGTTCAGTGAAGTAAGCCTTATCATATTCAAGTAAAAAGTAAGATAACGCTTGTGGCAAAATTGAAATTACAGTAAACTGAGTTTTATTATATAGATAAAAAGTTATTACACTATGAACTAGATGTTCGTATTATTATGATGCCACATTATATTTGTCGTAGGCATTGAAGCTCTAGTTCATTGGTCAACAAATATAAATTATCGAGTTTCGCCAATGCATTGCTCAAAGCCATCATCCCAAGTAATAATAATCCTTACGTTTGCAAAGGGCTTCTTGTAGCACCAATTTGATTCTAACGAACAAGTTTTTTCTACTGCCGCCGCTGTCCTATTCTATTCATCCACTCGCTATTTCGTTATACCGTTTTACATAAACTGAAGCTAAAGGGTACGCAATAAGAAACTACGGCCCCCTATGTTCTCATGCAATTTGCTTGCTCTTATTTCCTGTCAATAATACACCGCTGAACTCTGCATAGTTCTCCGAGAAATGGTCGGGGTCTGTCGATGTCGCTTACTGTTGCTGAAGCACGAGCATATCGACAGTCTTCAAGGATAAACACACGGCACTTCAGCTTTTATTTATCAAAATTTCTCGGCCAACAATTGTATTGTGCTAATCATCTACAGATAATTTGTGCTTCAAAAGCTTTCTTGTTATGTTGCTGCGTGTTATTAATTACTGTTGTTCGTTGTTACCGGCTTCGGCGTGTCAATAGTTCCCCCATGACCAGCGTAGTCTTCCCCGAATCCTTAAAAGCGCCTGCCTTCCTGCCTGGGCGCATTACGACACGGTATGTCGCTTTCGTCACCTCTCTGTGTTTGAGCCTTCCTTGACAAAAGATACGGACTGGCATAATTTTTACTCTAGCGAGGGTTGTAATAGAATAGAATCTATAATATACAATTTAATTTGTATAGAATTCGCTTTAAAATGCAATAGCTTAATAGCAAGAAGAACACCGATATTTGTAATAACAGTTAACATCGTTGTGTCGCTATTCCAACAGATTAGCTTTCCTATAACGGCATCGGTGAAGCCCTCCTTCGTCCAAAAATGTAGAAAGCTTCTTTCGTCCTCTAAACCCTGCTGTTAGGCTGACGGAAGTTTAAAATATATTTTTACTTTCATTGCAATCAATGTATACGAATTTGTGTTGCTGACGCTTATTATGGACCTTTCGTCTTTGGAACCTCGTTGCTTCACAACAGAATACTGAGAATAGAATTAATGCTAGTTGTTTATATACGATGATGAGACGTGATTGTGTCGTGTCGTAATATCGCGGCAATGTTATGCCGTTAAACGGCTGGCCAGGCGTCCAGGAGGTCTTCGTACGTTCGCGACCTGCGACGTCCTCTTGGACCTGTTGGGGGATCGGCCAAGGTCAACTCTTCCCCATTCGCTCCGAGCGATTCTAACCTAGCTGGTCGTCGTACAAGGAATCCGCTATCTGGACTTATCGTACCAGATCCTATAAGTACAATAAACATTTTTCAGTTTATGACTGTAATTTAGCGCGCAACAATATCAAGGATCGCGTTTTTTTAGAAAAGGAATTTTGTTTTGTTCCAACACGTGTAAAAACGGATCTTCAATGTTTTAGCCATATGCTTTTCTACGCGTTTAATGTGTACTTTTGCATTGTTTTCTCAGAGTCTCCTTTCAAGAATTATCACATGTTTATTAGATTAATTGAACGCAATAAGTATCTATGTAACGAACAAGACATACATCTATAAATACGCACTCAATAGTTATGGGTAGACATTTGTCAGCATTTGTTACGCACCGTTCTTTTTATTCGGCAGCGAACGGCTACGGGCGGCCACAACCGCCGCCGCAAACAGCCCCTGAGCACTGACCGTAGGCGATACATTTTTACCATTTATTTGTATTTCCAGATTATCGTCATTCAATTGCTGTTTCGCACTCAGAACAGACATCCCGTCTACCCGACCTTGTGCTGTAGTGTTACTTACAACCTGTAATTAAGAAAAAAATGGTATACACATATATGTGAGAGAGAGAGAGAGAGAGATTAAAATTTAGTCTTTTAAGCACAGTGTAATCCAAGAAGACTCTATTTTAAAAACATTTACAGATGTTTCTATAGCGCCAGGACGTATCTATAATTGGTAAAACGTATTAAACAAACAAATGTCTATTTAACAGCTTCTTCGGAAAATCTATCTGACAGATTTTGTTGTGTTCTTATATACGCCTAGTGCAACTTCTACGATCTCGACCAATTTCATGGAAGTTACCTGATTATTATTCGAGTCGTGTGGATTTGCATTAGCAACGATGCTGCTACTGCTACCGTTGCTGAAGAAGAGATGACCGTTTTTGATATGGGGGGTTTGTTCGTTAGGAGAACTGTAGAAACCGTCAAGCCAGCCGTTCGTCAGGCTCCCCTTCAAAGATCTCGTTGAGCTGCCCCCTTTACGCCCCCCGCTACAGTGGCTACCTTTTGGCAGATCGATTTAACCAAGAAAGCAGCGATACAGGTCGAATAGAAGCACGCAGTTTTAAATATCAGTGTGTATGTCACAGGAGAAAAATGATCACAGACTGTTCAAGCGGGAGCATTCCTATTGCATTTTTGCTGAGTTGTATCATTATAATCTAAGTGAAGGTAACTTATACAGCGATGAAAAGTTAACACAGGCAACCTACTCGTTGAATTGTTATCTTCCCGTAGAGTGTTCGTAGCGTCGTTATTACCACCGTTGAGAGTATTAACGTTGCCGTTGGCTAGGGGCAAGCGTATATTTTCAATATTGACATCTGGTAGTAGCCAGTTTTGTAGATCCTCGTCCCAACGTGCCTGTGACCGAATCTGTTCTAGATTGGTATAATTACAATCTCGTCGAATTACGCCTTGAACCTGACATTCGTTTATTGATTAATATAAACCGGTTCATATTAGAATTAAAAAAACAAGCGCCATTTCTATATACAATTAATTCCTAACAACTTAATCAAGCAAAATACCACTATACACATATATATTTAGTAATTTTACCTTGTCAAGGATGCGTGCCTGCAGCTTTAGAGCCTTCTCTTGCCGACGAATGGTGTCTAAGTAATCGGTGCGTTCGCGTTCAAACTCCTCCTGGAAAATTGGAGTAAATTGATATATTAATTTTAAATTAATACACTTCAATGAAGCACTGCGTCCCTTTCTTTGTCTTTAGTTAATTTTTTCTGTTTATTTGCAAATCTCATCATGCTTCGATGTGCAATAGGTGTTCATGTGTGTAGACGGCCGTTAAGCGTTCACACTTACTCCAATAACATCGATCTCTACAACTATGCAGACAGCGCTCTATTGTATGTAGCTTGCAGATGATACTTATACAATCAATAAAGTGCATCTATGTGTTGTCAGGCTTCCGCTCACCTGGAGATCCTTAATTTCCGTCTCAAGGCTCTGTATTTTTTTTTTTGCTCGTTTCAACACCAATGTCTTATGCTCTAGTTGGGCGTTCATATCTTCATAGTCCGGCATATTCTAGATCGTCATTAAGCAAGAAACAATTAATAAAAGGGGTTTTCTCTGGGGTATTTAGACCATTCTATTCGAAAATAGAGAAACAATTCCGCTTCCAACACAGCGGAGCTCAGCTGCTTGGTAATGAAACTACCTCGAATGAATATAGCAGTACATAACTCCATATACAATATAATCGCATATCATCCGTATTTGTCTAGCTGAACGTTAGCTAAGACGAGGAGGCAGCGAGCAATAAGAACTAGATTATTGTTATTGAAACTACGACTTTATCATATATATATATATATATATGTATTATGTATACATTTAGCTATCGAAAAACTATTGACCGTTTTTAGGTTAAAACTGAATTAAAGCAATCCCTTTTTTTATCTTTTAAAATATACTCTCAAGCAAAATGTGCGCCATTTTGATCTATGGTTTTCTGCTGTCTTTTTGAGAAGCCCATAACCCCATTTCTGTAATTTTTGGACGAAAAATTATGACAATTAGTATTATTTCGCATTTCTTTAATAGAAATTAATTAACACTATCGAGGAAGTTCTGCAGAGGCCGAAGCAAATAATCATCTGATGGTGAAAAGCCCGCGCTATACGACAGATGCATTAAGATTTCCCATCGAAGTTCCCTCAGTTCTTGCTGAATAGTTAAACATCTATGGGATCTGACGTTGTCACAGTAGAAAGTGACGCCCTCCCTGTAGCACTAGTTTTAATGTCACAAAAAAAATGGCTTGTCGTATTCCCCTGGGTCATTCATAGTAGAAAATCGAATCAGTCGTTCTCTCGGGCAACAGCGGTTTACAACTCACGCTTCTTTACTAGTCCCATCAGACGTAGCATTAGCCTGTTGGGTATCAGTCTGGGCCTGGCCACAGATTGTGGAACACGTATTCGCTATGTTCCTTGTTTGAATGCCAACCACCTGCCTTAGAAACGGCTCGATTTTATTGTGTTTCTATAGAGCCTTATAGATGAAGATACGATCAAGTAAGTACATTATTTTGCATCGTGTGGCGCTCAACCATCGAGTTTCTCTCATCTGTGTAGCTTACGTGTCAGTTTTGCTCAGTCATTTTCGTAATGATTTAATTACTTTGTTTTGTCGTTCGTCGACCGGCCACTACGAGAAGCATACTTCACATAGGAGTTTCCAAAAGATTCTTCCAACGGCGCACTTTGACCATAAAGAGTAGAAATTTATTCATGACTATGAACGGCACTCGTGCCTTTATCGTGATCAAATTGGGAAATATAGTGCATTTTTAGGAAAATTTTACTCATCCTCATGGCACCCTACCATAAACCTTTTAACCATAGATACATTTTATCATATCTAATACGGTCTAAGATTAGTTTTCAGATGACACCCCATGTGATTCGTGTTACCTATCTAAAAGCTGACGGTCAACAATTTTTTGGACAATCCTATATATCTGCATGAGTGTATGATATGATATGACACTGTTCTAATTAGTAGGAGATCTAACAGTTAGTAAAGGACTAAACATTTGTGTATTTGCACCTCATCGCTGCCGTCAATTTTGGCTAACACTTCCGCCATTGCACGAATCCGTCTCTCAGCATAGTTTTTGCGTTTCTCTCGTTTTCGTCTGAGTTCCTGGTCATCGGCCTTTTCCCCGCCAACGATTTTCCTTTGAAGTTCTTGCAGTCGCTGTAGAGCCGTCGTTTGCATCTGTTCCATTAGTGCGGGTTCACTAAAACCGGACAGAATCAATTATGGGTCTTTTAATATAAATTTAGTTAATGTGTGAGAATAATAGATGGAGCGTGTTTTGTTCAATGTTAGCTATTAAAATCAGTGTGGAAACACTCGTAATAATGAAGAAAATATTAGCTAGCTATCGTTGTCCTTGATTTAAGTGAGCCTTGAAGTGTGAGACAGAAGTGAATGATTGCAAGCATATTCTGCTAATAGAATTCTCTTTAGTTTATCATAGCGGATATGCGCTCGATCGTTGTCTCTTCTGTACTTGGAGAATCAGTCCTTTCTAGAGCTAAATCACAAGCTCATCATGATCGAGAACGTGGCATCGTTTTTTCTTAATTTGAAAGCTGTTCAGCTCTTATCCTCGCGCGGAACGAGCACCCACCGAGCAGAGTAGTTCCTTGTGCTACCCAGAATTGACGATCTGGCAACCTACGTTATTGCGGTCTTTTTATGCGGGTTCCGAGAAACGTTCCCATAACACAGAACTAACGATTCTCGACAGGGTTTAGGTTTAAAGGATTCAGTATTAGCCAAAACGGCGTGATAGGCCAATTCGACGAAAATTAACGGCCGCTTTCGAGAACAGAATGATTGTCCCCGGTGAACTAGACCAGATGAGCGCTAGTGGATCTTTCATTATATTATCCGTATCTGACATGTTACCAGACCAAATTGTAACCTGACTGGATGTTTTCTGCCGAGGACCTGACTAAAGTCTGAACGTACTATGAGCTTGATTAAACTATGATTCAACGCATGGCTAGTGTTGAAAGGTCATTTGCCGATTACCGAAACAACATAGATTATGGCAGATAAGGGCTTCATTTTAGAAAATAGATTTAGAAAATATGCACCACAGTCGTGTTCGTTTTACAAGATGCTGCTGGGCTTACGAAGAGAGGAAAGACTTACTCTTCAATCTTGACATTGGTAGCATCCTGGATAAGGTGTTTGATTTCAGGACTGTCTCGATCACCATCTATAACTGCGAATAGATTCAAGTATAGCCAATATAGTTAGGTCGTACTTTTGTCGGCAAACAATTATCTATGTTTTTAACATGTCTAAAGAGGATTCGCTGGCTGAACGACTTGGTACTGATAAACGGCATTCTTTCGTTCTGTATATTATGAAGTGATGACAATCAACTGCTATAGCCAAACACATACCCCTAAAAGAAGTAGTGTGCACTGTTGTATACGGCACAGGATTAGACCTGACTAATATGCAGATTTTACCTGCTGCATTGGGATCGTCTTTCTGCTGTTGTAGTTTACGTTCATAGAATTCTCTAAGCTGGTTCATGTCTTCTATCAACTTGTTTTTCGCACGTTTTTCTTGCTCGAAACGTTGACGCAGATCTTCTATTTGCAGCGTTACATGTTCATCTAAATTATAGAAAACAAATCTATCAAATATTGCACCCCTTTCCCTGCCACGATGGATTCGATAGGAAAAATATATTCGGTACAATGGTCGCATATGCAAAGCTGCGACACATTCTAAACCCCTAGAGGCCAGAAAGCAACCCCCTCTCTTCTCCTTGCTAGTTTTGTTACCTTTATATTACACGTGCGCGTATCAACCGACACGGTCCTTACATCTGTCTAACAGGCGCGAAAATTAAACGAACCATTGGCTTTGCTGGCATCCATAAAAGCGCTCATATCCTTATTCATCTGTGTACGACCTAACAGGTTCTCCCGAGATTGGAGTGGTGCCGGAGGAGGATTTCCCGAGACCTGGATGACAAATCGATAGCTATGTTATTAGTGTATGGGTATTACTAGTTAGACCTAGAGCGCACTAGCTCCGGAGAGGCTAGACGTAGACTAAATGAATAATCAGTACTGTTGAAGTCAACGCTAGATCGCTACATACAAGAAGCAGCTGCATGTATATGTTTCTGCTACTAGACGCGCTGCAAAAATTGTTAGTTGATACTGTTGCAGTACAGATTTTGCCCTATGTTAGACCATCAATGGCTCACCTGATCGATGAGGAGTTTCTTGAGTCGTTCGAGCTCTTCTTTGTACTCACGCAACAAGGCGTCCTTCGGATCTTCATTGACCTTAGGCTTGTTCTTGATATTTTTGGCACGATTCGCATATCTGACTCCAATACGAATCGTTTTAAACTTTATTGTTACTTCGGATCAGGTAAAATTTATACTTACGATCAGAAGCATGTGAAGTCGCAAGTTTAGTCAAAATGTAACAAACTCCATTTTTTCTAATATGCTCAAACGTGTATTGGTAATTAGAATTAAAGCAGTGGCTAAAATTATATGCTAATTTTTCAATCAATTTTTGAATTTGATTTTTCTAAAACACCGTACCGTAGAGTGCTCAGGGTTTCGTCATAGTTGTTGTCTGCGGGTGAAAGGCAAGCGACCATCAGGGTCTTTGTGTTACCTCCCAACGAGTCCTGCAGAAGGCGCGTTAGCTTTGAGTCTCTATAACAGGAAAAGGCATGGAACATATTGTTTAGCGTCCTGGCAATGAGTGAGGCTAGGAAACGCTGTTTCGAGGTTCACTGAGTACAACATACCTCTGTCGTATGTCCGTATGTATGCATTCATTTGAGTGACCTGAATTTAGGTAAGTGATAAGTGACGACCTACCTCACCTAATTTTTTTTATTTAGAGAAATGTGAAAACAGGCAAGGCACATGATACCTGTAAGGGATGTGTTTAGCCTTGCCGTCGACAAGAGCGGATATTACGTTTCCAAGCGCGCTAAGGCTGAGATTGATTTTCGTCGCCTCCTTAAGTCGATTTCCTGTTGCTCCCGTTTTGCATTGACGCTCACTGCCAGCTAGATCAACTAGATTCAGCTTGCCCTGATTCATCATCGGTTGAAACAACAATGGACTGTATTTAGCATCGAAAATGAGGTTGCCCTCGTATATCCAGTGCGGTGTACATCTGTACACAAGTCGTCAGTCTGCTACAAAACTCTGCCAGCTTTTTTGGGCTTTCGGTAAAATCTGAGCCTTGTCAAATACGTTAGACTTATAGTGGAAACGCTAAAAGGCTCTCGCTGCGGGCAAAAAAAAGTTTGGCAGTGTCATAGATGGCACAATGTTTTAGTGGTACTATTCGAGTTGACGTAACTATCTGCGTTGCTATGCCTATAACTTTGCATACCTGATGTTTCATTTAGATAGCCGAGTACTAAGCTTTTTTTGTTAAGGTCGACCGAGGGAAATGTTGTTTTCCGCTGCGTTTGTTTACATATAGCAAGCACAGAATGACACTGATTTGGGTGAGGTGATGACGAGCAATCTCAGTAGTGCACTTCCACTTAAAGCACGTCAGCGATAAAAAAAAATAAAAATATTACGAGGATACTACCACGTTATCCATATTCGACGTTAAATAACTAGGGCACCTTTCGAATGTGTTTGCCCCTGCCGGTCTCCATTTGTTCCACGTGAATAGTGAATATCGAGTGCGAACGAGAGGAATCGGCGTTCATCAGAGTCGCGCCTACCGTACGATTCTTCCAACCCTGTTCCATGACTGCCTCGCATTCGGTCACGCTGTTGACCGTATGAAGTGACAAGCCTACATTCGAATCCCATATCCCAAACGTGTACCATACGTTAATTAGATATGATACAATACTGTGTTAATTTAGAATTGTGTCGCCCCATGCTAAAAATTCTCTAGGTCAGTCGAATTTAATAAACAGCTATCTAGTATACCGCTGTTGTTGGAAAAGTCTTTTTGATAAAAAGAAGCCAGATTATGAAAACTAAGCCGGTACAAATTGTTCGAACACATGACTAAATAGTTCTAACTTACCTGGAATATAAACACCGGTCTCAGGATTCTCTTTTATGTCGTACTTCTTCTTTGAGTCAGAAGCTAACAGATCTCTTATTTCCTCGTTGTATATCTCGAGGTAGGACGCATTCACAAGGTACTTCGTATCGGTAGCAGCAGCAGTTGCCTAAAAGAGATAGTACAAAACAGGAGACGCCGCATGCAAAAACGTTGCGGTTCACATTATTACAATACGTACACTTGACGTTAATTTTTTTACTGTTTGATATCACCAGCTATAGGCATGCCTAGTGATACAACAGGTTTTTGAAAATAACAAATGGCATCATGTAATCGAACCGGTCGTACAGATCACTCGTTCTACAGTGTGCGAGTGTGTGTGTGTGTGTGTGTGTGTGTGTGTGTGTGTGTGTGTGTGTGTGTGTGTGTGTGTGTGTGTGTGTGTGTGTGTGTGTGTGTGTGTGTGTGTGTGTGTGTGTGTGTGTGTACGTTACTTCGAAGATATGTTCAAAAGAACGAGGAATGATGCCCCTCTGTGAAGTGGGGTTGGAGACGCCTTGCATCGAGAACGACTTGCCACAGCCGGTTTGTCCGTAAGCAAATACTGTCCCATTATAGCCTTCGGTGACGGACTGAAACGTAATTAGATTGACAGAGATTACACCAATGTTTTGTTCTAATATTGAAGTCGACACCTATCTGATTACTTGTGACAAGCTGAGTAGAAAGGTCTTGTTCTACTAAATAAACATGCGGTCATGATCGTAGTTTCGATGGAACAGCGATAACGTCTTGTCTGAAAGCACACTATCGAAAGATAGTTATGATCCTACCTCAACAATAGAGAAGACAATGTCATTGTAAATCTGTTCCGTTGAGGAATTATCGCCGTAGGCCCCATCAAATGTGAAGCATTTCGGGGGAGCGTTAGGCTCTGCGGGATTGATCAGTGTGCAATGCGCGTTGGCACAGTCAATACAAACGATTTCCTAGAAAAATAGACGACGCAGCCAGCACACACACAGGAGGCCAATAGGAACAACACAAATTCAAATGTCCATTAACTTCTCCCACGCACACGACGCTAACATTAACAATAATATGAATTACATCATAGTAACAATATGCATGCCTACGTAACTATCGTCGTTCAAAAATAACTATGTAACAACAAAACATCTGACAAATTTAGAGGAAACAGATCACTCTTGCGTTCTCAGGTCACAACGTATCGCGGCGACGCCTTACAACACACACACTCGTGACGAAATTAAATGTCATTTACTGAGTTATTGGGATCTAGAAATAATGATGAGATCTATAATATGATCTTATACATAGTGGTATAATATGATTTTATATATATGACAGTATATGACATGCTGGTTTGCTAAACCTAGACGCAGCTGGTGGTCTAGATTTGAGTCCGGGCGTAAACAGACTGCCTCATTTTGTAGCCAGCCGTCTGAAATTACTTACTTAATTACTACTTAATTAGGATCCATAAAATGCAAAAAAACGTCTATAATATTGTATGCAATGGACACATCTTAGCCATATCTGATTTTTTCGAATAACTTCTATTGCGGAGCGTGGAACTAAATCGCAGCAGTCAACTCTAGCAATTTAACGGTTTTTAACTGAGGTATCGGTGCTGAGATGTTTCAATAATGTTAAATAGACAAAATCTCCATTTGTCTTTTCATATCTATTGATGATGTTTTCACTCACACTTTTTATTATTTTCACTCGATAGGTTAACTTCAGGCCCTATGCTTGTTCAATTCGAAGAATTCATAATACCGGACAGCTCTTGTTGGTTACCGGATATCCGATGAACGCTGCCTCGTTGCTGAGACTGTTATATAGGACTCGTATTTACAAATGAGTAACGTTTGTGTCTCAACGTCTTACGCAATTCGGGCATTGAACCACTACATAGTTTAAGTTAAAACCACTTGTTTTCATCCGGCCTCGGCCCGATCGGGGCGGCGTCATGTTCACTATTCATTTGTATTTACATATGTTACATGACATTTGTGTGGAAGGGTCTGTGTCGGTCGAGCTCAGGAACGATTCACCTTTACGGGCAGGGGTTGCACACCTCCGATTCGATGTCAACGTATTCGTACGGGCCGCCGGTCCACGTAAATAGAATTTCGTAGTGTTCATGTTGAAGATGACTGGCCAATAGTTATTAGTGATAAAAGCGTGCTAGCAATAACAACGAAGCACGAAGTCAATAACCATTGTCATAATCATGATCATAGGTTTGGTATACCCCAGACTGCTGCCGCTTACGCCATCGACTTCGCGCTTGCATGTTTTGCCAACGTTGTCTCTGCTGAAGGCATTCGTATTCATAAAGTTGGGCTTGTTGTCGTTGTTACTGAAGTTGTTGTTAGAAGGAGCTAGAGCTTTATTTGACAACATGGCGCAAGTTCTCAAGGTCACCGACACCTGTGAGGAGCTGATAAAATATACCACGATGTGTTGGCGGGCCGGGAGAAAACTATAATACTAAGTTTTATTCAACTGCTATAGTCTTGATCTACACAGCACATGCTGTACGACTATACAAACGCTGTCTAGACAAGGCGAACACACAGTTTGAAACGTCATCTTGAAGATGCGTAAAGATATACATTGTCCAATTATAGGGAAAGGGAACAATAACTTTCGCATGGTGAGGCGCGATTTTTGAAATTACTCAGGAGGAATATATTTGAAATGGGGCAGATATTAACATGAAATGCTTGGAGTACTGCCAAATATTGCATCCTGTCAGGCTTTATATGTAGTACTATAGCCGATGCAGGTCTCGTATAGTTGCATTCGCGTTATTTCTTAGCCAAAGACAATAGATAACGACTTGATTTTAGCCAAAGACCCATAAATATTGCATTAGTCTCAGCTCAGTCTATCATTATGTATGCGCTTCAACGATAAGCACACAACATCTATTATAGAAACATGAAATAATATTATGTGTAATAAAACTATTGTGCAACATACATGTTTATAAGCATTAAATGCGTCTGTATACGGGCTTTCGCATTATACGGCTAGTCCTTATAGATTTGCCAGTGAGGTACCTAGAGGGTTTTGTATCCATATTTCTTATGCGTAATGAGGCAACGAACTCCTATGGTAACGGAGATTTTACATAGCGCGTAGAAAAAAAAGTCTCGAGATTGGTGTGGAAGATCTGTACCGCTGCATCTTGTGTACTGAACAGTTGTGAAGCGCCTTTGTTTACTTGCTGCTGCAGCTACATATGGCTATATCGAGATCGTACTCAAAAAGAGAGATGGCCGATGAGTAAAGAAACTACATTTAAGGTACGCAATATATTTATAGAGGTCAAGCGATGTAGCTAACATTCATTACCAGACAATCCGTCTGGACGATATAGTAGTGCATAAGGGTTCTACATAAAAAATTAAAATTATACGAAAATATGCAATACAGGGTGAGTTTGATTATCTGGTCAAAAAAAAAGCAATTCAGTAGCAGGTTATCAGCGCGATAGCTTGAACAGCTAAATATCAAGCGATCTAGCACGTCGGCAAATTTAAATGAATCGTAAACTTTGTTCTGGACCATAACTTTACCGCGTTGGTATCGCGATTTGAATTTTGAGTCGTTTTCCTCGTCTTGTTTACAGTTTCCCTTGTGATACACACTGTGGTCGTATATTCTATTATACAGAGAGGCCTAACGCAAAAAGGACCTACCATCAAAGCGACTTTGAACGCTAGGTGCCATTCAAAGTTGTTTTGTACTGTGGAGTCTTCGACTCTGAATTGCGCCGTTTCAGTCCTTTATAAACAGCAATCAATTTTAATATTCTAAGAAAACCATACACGTCTCATATATCTTCCGATGGAAAACTTCGGACAGTTGGCAAGCTTCTTTGAAAGATATTATCGACTCATAGAAGCATCATAGATTTAGGGTCGATACATCACTTTAGCCAAAATAATCTAATGAAGCTGCTTCATTTTTTTCTACATATCTCATTTAAGCAATTGGCAATTATATATGCAAGAAAAGTCGTTGGATTTCGATGGCCAAACGGAATCATTTAATTGCAAAAAATACTAGCAATATTCACCCTCGGCAAACGCATATCTGTTTCCTTTTTCCCCCACTTCCGCTATATGAAAAAAGATTCAAGTTTTTAGAAAAATTAGGCCCTTTTTACATTCATATGACCTTTAAGGCTAAATTGAAAAATCAGCATGAGAGGTACTCAGATATTGTAAAGGACGATACAGCATACGGAACTGATAAAAGCGGAATACGAAAAATGTGTATAATCCGATCGTTACTTACTCGGCATTTCAACGTCTTTTCGCGTTGGTTCATCGGACGGCACCTAACCATCACTTTTACACTCTCCATTGGAAACTTTCTGCAATTGAATTAAATTACACATGTTAAAATTTTTGTCCTGAAAGAAGAGCACCTGTTGTTCTTGGCGCAATTGAAACATTGAATGAAAGGGTGTTTGGCGTAAACAAGCGTTATGGAACATATAGAACGGTTTCTAATCAATGTGTTCACTGTCAAACAGCACGATATAAGAATAGACCGATGTCGCACACCAGTCGCGCTGATTTAAAGCTTCCGAGTTCTGTTCGTTTAAATTATTAAACGTTTCGTCACAGTTTGAGCACAAATCATTTGGTGAAGGCTTCTATCGGGGCATTGGTGCCAGAGTCGTTGCAATATACCCTTCTGCCAAGGTGCAGGTATTATGCGAATTAGATTTTAACGTTGAATGATTGATTAAATGATATAGTTTCTTTTTTTTTTTTTCATTTTACTATCACTACATTTAAACTCCCCTTTATATTTTTGCTCGGTTTGGAGTGGTTCATTCATTCACGGTGCGCTACTACGAGAGGTGTGAAGTGCCCGTTCGGCCTCGTGCTTCTCAACCAGACAGCTAACTAAGGTGGGCTGCGGGAAGTAAATCACGTCACAGCCAGCCAGAAGTTTTTGAAAACTTATATAATTCTATTGGACGCGATGTTAAATGTAAACACGAAGACGACAAACAACTATTTGTCAATTTGCATTTTCACAAGTATTACATTGGTAGAAAATTTCACTCGATTGGAACTTGATAAATATACCAGAGAACTTCCGTCGAATCGGGAAAATTGTCAGGGAAGATGCACGGCACACATTAGATTCAGAGTCAGCTGGCACCACCCAAGCCCAATATGGACATGCATCAAGGGTATCTTTCGTTTCCCTGGAAAAACTGACCTATTGTTCAGTAGTATTGCAATGACAACTTTGCAGGTCGGAAGCCTCGAAACGATCATGGTGAAGGATGCAGAGAGATATTACTTCGAGCGGTCAATTTTTGTCGACACATTGTTCAGCAGTAAATTAGCAAATCGAAATTCCCTATAGGTCCCTATAGGGAAGGGGCTTCTACCCCTTCTCTAGTTCCTCCCTGGAGTACTTCTGTTTTTTCCATCGATCTCTCAGGTTCACTAATAAATCGCTATTAAAGTATAGCGGTCATAGTGTCACGTACGTCATACGCTGGCTGACACTTTGATAGTCTCCATCATAGAGCAGTATTATAGGTTAGGGCGACAGCTGAAATTGAACCGTTTTTTGAAATTGAGAAACGATCGTCTCTCATGACAATTTATAGATAAGGGATACAGTTATATTAAATGAAAAACGCATTTCTCTACGGATATCGCAATTTTTTTCATTTTATGCACACACCGGCACACCATTTCGTTTTCTAAGCTTTTCTTATATCCTTTAAACCTCAGATGCTTGTAATCGATGCATCAGTTACAGAATACATACCAACTGGTCCGCGATCTCAATCGATTTCATTGTTTAACGAACCTTCAACAACAGTTATGACTGATCATTATATTATTACGGTTCTGCTAAATTTAAGTGCTCGTTGCGGTGTAGGTTCGAATCCCAATGTAGACATACTTCGTTTTATCCTAAGTAGTCACGATACAGGTTGTCTTCCTGCTAATACTGTGAGGTTCCCTAAATAAGGCTGTTCGATGACGTAGTCGCGATCATAGTTAAAAATCTTCTTTAGTGCATTGTGATTACATATAGATTCACGTGTATACGATTCACGCATCAACGTGAATACTCCTTGTCCAACTGAACGCCTATCCACCTACCTTTTCGTGGTAGAGTCAACTTCGACTAACAAACTTCACTCCCTAAGTATTAGACCCCACAAGAACAAATGTGATACTTGTTATTATTGTGATATTGTGTAAATGAATGAAAAGAGTCGTTAGGGCTATGTTGTGTCCGGCAATGCGTTTAAGCAAAGCGACATATATTCTGAAATTTTGTTAAAGAGAACTCATAGATTATTTCGAAGCGACAACTCTTTATTGTTCGGCTAATTAGGGAAACTGAACTATTCGCGGGCCAAATCATCTCCATCTCAGCCCCAGTTCCTGGCTTCATTAAGATCGATTGCAGGACAAGTTTACATAATTTGAAACCAAAAAATTTCAAAAACCTTTTTGTCCCTTCAGCTGAAGAATGACAGTTCAATCTAGGTTACAATACTGACGCGTGTTCTGCACGTAGTAAAATCCCTTTGATTGCTGCTTACGCCAGATCTAGTTGTCTACAACAATAACCCCCCACTAAGAGAGACTACGTAAGACAGCCGTAGGCGTAGATGATTGAGTGTGTCCCACAACCTTGAAATTCGTGCCTTTTTGGGTCCGTTTGTGTTTAGGGACAGGCTTTTGCCACTGAACCCGATATATCCCGTGCTGGGCAGGCCAGTAGACTCAACGCCGTGGGCGTATTTGCAGACAGCAACAGCGACTTCCACAGTCATCGCCAGGCCTCTAGTTAGGTTTGATCCCCAAGTCGATCCATAACGCAGGCGTCGTCTGCGATAGCGGCGAGCTGCAGTTCGATAATAACTCTCTCAGGCCACAGTAACTTTTGTCCCAAAGACTGAGAACTAACTGGTAATTACTTGACGATGGCGTGAGACGGACAAAAAAGTAATATGAAAATGTGTGTCTATAAGGAACATTGCACTACAACCGCGTAGATTTGTGGTCGTGCCAAACTTCGTTGACAGCGGAAACGTTTCACTAGGCCAAGGCCATGGTTTATTGCATTGATTTGAATGCCTAGCAAGCCACAGGGTTCTAGACGGCCGGCCACCTTGTATGCGGTTTCCAGTTACTTGCAGCCATGAACTTTGCGTTGTTGCTTAATTGAAGCTACCACGAACATTGCACGGTCGCTCTTTATTAAGAACCATGGAAGACTTGATATTTAAGGCATAGGTAAAATACGTTAATCATAATTCGCTGTTGCTAATTAATCGCCACTAACCGAACAGTAGCGTATAGGTATTGCAAGTTACTTGGCTTAGGACTATGGATTCTTGCGAATCTATCCGTAGCCACAAAGATTTAGGTACAGTTTATGCACAGCCAATGCATTTTGACCTGAACACGTCACTACATTGTCACGCTGCTCCTATATTCACGTATATCCCCTCTTCTCGTAACTTCTTAAAGTACGAAAGGCCGTCATCGTCATACATACGCCATCTTGAATGAGGGTATTCCGTTGCAGACGATTGAGCCAATGGACGAGAAAGTCTGATGACCTCTAACAACAACATAAACCGTAACGACAGCAGTATGCAAGGAGAGGCAGCGATAAAACTTATCCAAGGGAATGGCATAGGGGTAGCTATGCATTAAGTCTTCCTCCACGAACAGCTCTGACTGGCAAGGAGGGCCGCGGGATGTCAGTTGGGTATGGGTTCAACGACGCAGGAGGCTAGTTTGCAGCAAACATGGAATCTAAATGACGGTAGGGCGAGCATAGAGATGGATGTAGGGGGCAGATCGATCTGTTTTCAAGGTCGCCACCGACTGCCATGTCCGTTGCTGTTATTTAGATCTCGCACCAAAGCTATACCTCACTGAAAGCATGCTGAACTTCGATGCTGCTGAGGTTTTCGGCGACGAAAAGTAAACTGATGGAGTAATTGAATTCATCACACAGAAAAAAAAATAGCAGTTCTTTTATTTTGTATTGATCAAATGGGTGCGTCGATCGGTAGGACACTATACGTTAACAAACTTCAACAAGATATCGAGGCGAACGAAAGGTCAATCTATACTTGTGAAATTCATAGCCGAAAACGTCATCAGATAAAATATAATTATTCTATAAATATTATTAATCAACAGGTATTGAGAATCGGGTTCGCGTTACACAAGTAAACACATAACAAAATTAATGTTTTTAATCACTAGAGGATTTTTTAAGCAAAATATAGTTTAAAAAAGGATGGATTCGCTATAAAGAAAATTTAGAAGAAGACAGCCCGTATATGCGATCGAGGCAAACTCATGTATATTTGTGTACAATAAATACATGTACAATAAATGTTTGAATTTTGTGAAATGGCTGCCGATCAAGAGAAGACATAGGTAGCTGTCTCATTTCCAAGATTGTTAATAACATAGCCGTTGGCCTTCGGAGTAAGTGTTTTCTATTATCCTATAAAGCTGGAATCTAAACCTATAAATCTGACGCTTGCATAATCCGTACTTAATTAACAGCCTCTCGGTTTAGGCGCTAATCAGGTCAATCATACTTTGAATGCTTCTGTTTTTAGTCACTGTCATTAAATCTATAAATGAGTGTCTACTATACATCACCTTGTAGTTCCTCACTATCGTTTCGCCACCATCAAACACAAAGGCTCACACAGATCGGAAGAAGCGAAGCCTCTGTTTAGAAAAACTTTAACTGTTTTACCACTTTGAGTCGAAATCGACCACTTAGACATGGGCCTTCTCTGAACTGACAAAAAATGAACTACGCTTCACATATGAGGAATTCAGTTGCCTAATTTTCTCCAAACTTTTTAACTTGACCTTTTTTTTTTTGAATAGCTGTGTAATATTGTGTACCTTTTAGTTGCTTGTACTCATTATAGACGATCACTATTTCTTAGCACCGAGTTCATGTGAGAATTTTATTCAGAATGACATCTATTTTTATAAAGAAAAAAAAATGCGACTAAATATCAAATGTTACTCTGACGGCCGTGCCTCTGACTCTATCGATTGGATAAAATATTAAGCGATCCTAATATTAGTGAAGCAACATTGAAATAATTAGCGATACGTGCGTTCGGGCAGGGATCTAATAAAACTGATATGTGTTCTAATATTGACCGTAAATTAAAATGTTTGCTATTGTTATCAGGCGTAGTAAAATTTTGGCCTCAACTGCAGAAAGCATTCCGCTCACTTAAAAATTCTGCCCGACAAACAATGATAAACGAATTCGAGGCTGAACTTTAGGGATTTATGTCTTAGACATAATTTCTTCAAGGGCGTAATATCTTAGGCAACTGTCCGACACTAAAGGACGCACATAGTACGATCAACAGGAATCGATCACGGGGCTAGAGACACTGGTCGGCCTACCCGACTATCACCTCTCTCAGCCTCATACAAAGGCGCTATTGGAAATAGTAAAAATTAAATCGATATTCAACCGTAGGAAAAGCTTGACTCTTCAATTTAGTCTTGGCACACATCAAATTTCATCTAGGGATTCACTGTCGAATTGGAAGAGAATTTTCACTTTAATTTCCTTGAGTTTCTTTTCAGTCGCCGCAGTACGACGGCATAATGGACGCCTATTGTTTCTCCACTCAAAGTTGCGCTTATTATGGAAAATAACGCGTTCGAGTTATCCTCTTGTTCAATTCGGCGGAGTCCGGTGGCCTTTGTACTCGTTTATGGAAATAAGATGGAAATCGCACATTTTTAACTTCATCATAAACCTAACATGCAAATCATGCGTACGCCCATAATCCAAAACCTATTTGACTTGGCTCGTATAGAAATTGTTGAATAAAAGTATATAACGTCTAAGTCTCTGCACTTTCCTTAACATTTATCTGCTTATATACAAGGACTATATTTATTTTGTAAACTTTGATAATGACAGTCATTCCTCACTGTTCTGGAAACGGTTCCATCCTCTATACAAGTAGGATCTTATAGTTGATCAAATTCAAACAGACACGGCTGGTGATAACGTAATACGTTTTTCTCTATTGACCTTCTGAAACTCAGGAATTTGTTTGACGATAAATTAGTCAGTGTTTCAGATTAACATTTCCGTTTGAAGTATCCTAAAGACGACCTTTTTGTTAACAAACGGGAGCCACCATCAATAGTATTTCGAACATACCATTCCAGTTATCTAAGGCCAAGACCTGAGTGCTGCTTAGTATGCTCGACCTTTCATCGTCTGTGAAACGGTGGCGACCTCTAGCATCTTGACCCTATATCACCCTATATGTTCCTTGACCCTATATGTAAAATGAGTGACGATCGCCTACACACGCATATCAATGAAGTTAAATTATTATACTTTTTTTGGATAGGTTAAAACATATATTTAAATCCTTATTCTCAAAGGGACCTCTGAAGGTGAAAATCAGTATGGTTATACTTAAACTTTGCACCAAAAAGGCTTACCTCTGTTATGAGTTGTCAGGTATTTGTATTTCAATGTAACATTGGCAAAGAACGTGTTAAAAAAAACTGAGCGCCAAGAAATAGCTAAGTGTTATTCGTATTCAGATAAAACATAAAAAATGGGCTATGCCCTATGTATATCTGTCTCCTTAAGGGAATCTGAACTTCAGCCTGGAAGGGCATATCCCATCTTCTCACGACACCTTGCTTCGGCGTTTTCTTGTAAATTCCCCTAGTTGAGATCTAAAAGCGTGGAACATCTTCCCTTCTAGTTCAGTGTTACTCACGCTCGTACTTTTTACAAGCGGTGAGTGGGCAAATAATTCATCGAAATGTCTCGCGCGACCACTCTCGCGCAGCTTAGCCCCCAAGTGTGTGAGGTCTTTTTGTACGTATTTCTCATATTTGTAGGCTGATTTACAATTTTCAGACGATCCGTACATTCGCAATCATAAATGTAATCTGAATAATCAACTACGTGATACGCCCTCATGCTTTCTAGTAGATAAATTTAGTTTAAACTATTTTACAAATGTAAACATTTATGTGAGAACAAACATCTGCAAAACACTTCAGGACCCAAATTGTTGTGCTTACTGTTTCCTTTGCAGACTCTAGCTAATATACTTCGAACATCAACATTAACAATCATAGATTTAGACAGAATAATAAGGTAAGAACATTACGTAGACTAAAACATTATTAGCTGATAGTTGAGGGTCAATGGCTAACTTACGTTACTCCTTATGTGACAATTCTGCATTTCAAATGCTTTGCTTTTTTCACCTATATACCTAATTCTACCTGACAAAGATGTAGCCAAAAGACCCGTATGTCTAAAGGTTTTTTCAAGTTGAAAAGACTACACCTGCTTAGCTATGCAGAACTACCTTTGATTAATGTCAATTGGCTTTGAGAAATACTACACACGTGACACCTAGGTTGCTCCTTTTAGGTGCAGAACAATTGAATCACATCGACAGGATTTGTGTCTTAAGTAAATGAAATTGGCATTAGAGAGAGAGAGAGAGAGAGAGAGAGAGAGAGAATTACTCTTACTCTATCGCTTTTTGTACACTGTGCGTGTGCATATGTATTTAATACAGAAATACTCTTAACTCACCGCTTTTATGCACGTATATCCGCAAAATTCAAACTGTATTAAGAGATTTATATGGCGTTTATAAAACGCCAAGTAATCATTATCGCGTTAAAAATCCAATTAACAACGATTTGTTTGTATTTATTGTCGAAGCTGTGTCATACTTCACATCAACCTCACAACTGGATGAGTTCAACTAACTCCTGTTGCCACCCGGCATCTATGTTCCATAGAACTGTAGCGCCTCACTGCCTTCATATGCAAACTTCCCTCACCCGGCTTGAGTCTGCTCTTGCCCATTGAGGGGTAGAACTATGGAACCTGGAGGATCCTCTAGACGTACTTACATACGCCCGCTCTTACACACACACTTGTATAATACCTGATATATGGAGTCGGCGTAGTAATGAGAGGCAAAAACGTTTCCATAGTAACGCCAAAGCTATTTTTAAACAAAATAAGATGTCTGTTGAGCTTGCTTTAAAATTTCAAAAAATTTGAATTGCTACTCTCTGAATTTCTCGTTATACCAGAGTGTGAATTCTTTGTCAAAAAAGATTTTTTAAGGACTATAAGAGGATTTTATTTTTTTCATCAAAGTATGCATCAGCCTTAACTTTGCCATAAAATAAAAATAAAATAGAGCCAGTTAGCAATTTATAACCTGAATTTTAGCGGGAAAAAAATAGTCTGCCTAGTTTTTTCCGCCGGGTTAGCGTATATACAGAGGACCTCTGTTGCCTACTTTGTTTTTTGCCCTTCTTCCCTTGCAAACAAACGTTAGCCAGCTATTGGCTCCATTGGTTCCTGTATCAAAGGCAAGCCTTTGTTTGTTGTATGGTAGTTGTAAAGTAGTTGACTTTAAACCGTCTACTTTTAGCCCGATATTTTTCTTACTGTTATTCATATATGTATCGATATTATTAACATCATTATTACTATGAACACCGCTTTCGTTTAGTTAATTGTGACTTATGTGAACCACTGCTTAAAGCTTCTGCAACATCCTAATGTAAATACTACTTGATTTTGGCACAGTAAGCAGACAAGAGGGAGAGGGCACAAAAGGAGAGAGAAAGTCATATATGCATCATCGGATAATGACCGATTATGTACTGAAAGGAACAATTCAATGACATCGGCTTCGTTTACAAAATGGGAGTTCGATGACAAAATAATAGCTTCGATGGCCTTTGGCCCCCTGATGACAGCGCACAATTAGTAGCTTAACGGGCAGCTCAACCGCGAGATCGAACAATACTAAGCGAATTTAGAATATGCTTTATTAGTAAGTTGAATTTTAGTTAGTTTAGCCGTTAAAGCGTGAAGCTTTGATTAGATAATTGTAAGGCTGTATATACGTTTGTTCGTCGCGGGTTTTTCGAAAAAGGTTTCCTCGAAACGAACATCTCCCTTAGCAATTCTTGTTTAATGGGACTGTGATATCATAGTGGATTTCAATAGTATGTTTTGATACATTCATGCACGTAATAGCAGCGTGCACAATGTAAGCAAATCTGTCTAGCAGAACACCTGATCTGACGCCATGGCACGCCATGTCAGTTGTCACCGATTGTTCTATCCGCTAGATCGGTGTGCAATTCCCCAGAATTCTCTGATGAGTGGAGGTATGTATTGATGGAGGCGTGCAATTATGGAGAATATCTATTGCGAATGTTACTGATACGAGATGTGCGTACCTCGATTGAGGCTATGACTTAAAAATCTATTGACGTACTCAATAATGATCAGTAGAGGACAATGGCAGCAGGACATGAAATTGCCTTTACAGCAAAACTTTACTTTTTTAAAAATTTCTATATTGGTATGGTGAGAAATTTTTGTCCCAAAACGCGAAAGGAGTAGTGCTATCGAGCGCCATTGTAGATCATAGATGAAATAACGGCAATTTATACAGCAATATATATATTTAAATGAATACGCCGCTCGCTATTGATTCATCCTGATTGTGTAAAAACACTGTATTCTAAGTTCCAAAAAATGATACAGACGGACTTTTGTAGTTTTACAGTTGAGTGCATGTTACTTTATAGATGATTATCTATCATCTAATGGCACCAATAAATAGCAGTTAATTATCTTAGTGGACCAAAAATTCAGTCAAGTGCGAACATCTTATCTATACGTTCCTGCGCTGTTGACAGAATCAAAGTAAAAATAGTAAAGTGCTTCGAAGGTCACGTATCTCTAACTCGTATATATACGTATCTACGTATCTATATACGTATATACTCGTATCTATAATACTAAGCGTTGAAAACTGAATACAATCGTTATTAAATACCTTTTTTTCCTTTAAAATTTTTTTCATCTCTAATTTTATACTTTTTATTATAAGAGTGTTATTAAAGTTTTCAGTCATACTGCATGAGAGTTTCAGATAGAAACTTTACAAAAATAAGAGTTTATTTGATAATATAAGATTGTGTAATGCTGGACTCGGTATGCGATTTAAGGCCCATATTAAACATCTACATCTTTTAGCCTTTGCTCAGCTCTTGGTTTCATACGTTAGTAGCTATTTCAAAGGAAGCTGGTTCAGTGCCGTAGTCAGCAATCGTTAGACATAAAAATCGATTAGGCCATTTTAGAATTACCATTCTAAATCTGGACGGTCTATCCGATCTATGGTAGTCGTATTGGAGTGGTATATAAATATAGGCGCAAACGTTTAGATCCGTATCACACATTACGTAATTTCTATCACGCCTTTAATACATTCAATTTAACCCTACAGGTTTTACCGAAACGTCCTCATAATTCTTAAGTATGGCAACTATACTTCAATGTAATTAATATTGTAACAGCATTAATTTTGTAAATTCTTTCCAGATCAGACTTTTTAAAAGGGACATTCCATGACAGAATATTAAGTGACATAGGATTCTCCTCAAATCTATATTAAAACGTTTTATGATAAAATGAGATACGTCTTTAAATAGTCCAAAGGTTCGAAATGTTTTGGCAGTCTTTTAGATCACTAGAAATATTAAGGATATATAGGGCAAATATATAAATCATTTTACTGGAGATCTCCAGAGAGCTTCAATGGTAGCCTAATCCTAGATGAGGCTCGATATTTGCCCTTGTCACCTGAGCTTTTTTCAGAAGACTAATCTAGTTTTAGCTTTCAACCACATTAGGTAATTATGTAGATTGATATAATCGAAGTGTGTCTTACAATTTAACGACTGAAGCGTATTTTTTGAAGTTTTTTTTTTAAAAAAAAATAAGATCTTTGGTTAGATTGAATATATACTAGTAAGAGTGATTTTTACTTGGGTAACATGGCAATACAGATCCCCTAATTTTTTGGACGATGAATAAAGCACTAAGAAACGAAATTCGGAAAATTAAAATATATAGCGAGTTATTTCCTATTTCGAATGTATTATATATGACGTTCCTTCCGCCCTTTGGCGATATCAACATGATAGTACTTCGCTGTGCTCGATGTATTTATGCTTTGCGGAGCTGTCCGAAACTGTCTTAATTAATTAAGTAACGCTCTACGATTCCCAACAAAGATCTCAGCCATTTAAAACAGATTCTTAAACAGGGAAAAGGCTCACCTTTCTATTGTTGTTATTTTCCGACTAAAAATCGATGTGGTTCAATATTTACTCAGAAAAGTGGGCCATTCTGTAAAGGCCATATTAAGCACTTATTTCCTGTTGATTATCGTTGCATCGCTGCCGTCTGTATACCTCTCCCGCCATCGTTCGATTGCACTTTTGTCACGTCTCTAATCATAAGGCAACTGCAGAAATATTGTCTGCCCGAGGGGCAATGGCCTTTGATGACCCAGAAGCCGAAAATATATCATTCCCACATGGACCCGCACACTCCAACAGCCGTTCGCAGCGGCGGCTGCCAGAATACACGGGCAAAGCAACGATAAGGCTTTAGCTAATTTAAATCTAGATCAGTTTGTGGTCAGTATGAATCGTAAGTAGTTTGCAGTCCGATAATGGCCAACCGAGTGCCGAGTACTAGCCAGTTGTGTCTTGGTACTTACGAGTTACCAGATAGGCAATGTTCACTCTAAAATGTTATATTTGGAGATCAAATAAAGCGATCACAAGACATTCTATATGATTGTTGTCAACGGTGATAACTCAGGTCAGTCAATAAGTTTCCAACAAAACTCAGAAGCTCCGAAGGATATGCACAGTAGATAGCCCAAATTTTATTCACTAAAACGTATTATCTCAGTAACTCGCCAGCCTGGATAGAACAATACATCTTTTACTGATGGTAGATATGCTGCAATTCGCCTAAGACCATTGGCAGTAAGCCGTATTAGCGTTTCAACTAGTGTAAAAAATACACCACTTTTTACCGCTCAATCAATTCTTTATTCGGGCAAACATGTTCAGCTATAAAAAACAACATAGTACTTTACAGGAAACTATGATGCAGTCTAGATAATATAGCATTACTTAAATATCTTTGAAGACAAATGGTGTAAATAATTCCTACAAGACCTCAGCTTGCTTCTGAGGAATTTGAAGTAATCGGCATACCTTCACACACTATCCTTGCATTTGCTAATATATGTGGGGCATTTGTCCTATTAAGAGTTCCCCTGTAGCACTATAACGGAACCTTATAAATGAAAGCTCTCTTTCGAACCAAATCAACCGACAACATAGTCTTTCATATTTCCTTTAAATGTCTGACTAAAATCGTCTTTAAATGGTAATTTAAGGATGAACATTTTCAAAAGGTACACTATTTCGGCTAATTGTCACTTTTCTAAAAAATAAATAATAACATGTTTGTATATTTAGAAGCTCGTAGATAATGCGAATATGGGACATGAACTGGGAGAGGGTCAAGACTGATAATAGACCTGCTACAGAATGTAGTAATGATAACATAAGAATCATATATATCTAATGAATATTATGGATCATATTGATATGGTATTTTCACTTCAGAACTGAAGATCGACAAAGGTAGACTGAAAAACACCTGAACCGAAAGGAATAATCGTGCTAAAAAAATATCTGCACTTATGCCACTATCTAATTGTATGGACACTGAGTGTGCGTATATGACAAAAAGTAAATATCCGCTTTTAGTGAAAACACTTTCTTGCAGACACCGAATTACTATGGTAAAAACT